ATTTGGAACACATTTGCAGACACATGAATTGTTTCCAATGCTTTTTAATCCACTCTATTTCCTACTTGTCTCATTTTTTATTGAAAAGACAGATTCTGCTGGTGTGTGTTCCTTTATGGGGGCAGCAGAGTGTTCTCCACGGGCAGAGATCCAATGAGAGACAGATAAAAGGCCCAGGGAGACATGGGGAAGGAGTAAACAGGATCAGAGAGCAAGGAATAGGGAGAGACAGAGGCAGAGAACCCAAGAAGGCAAAGGGAGGGACTCAGCCCTAAGGGAAGATCTAGTGTGCTGAGAAATCCTGCTTCAGTTCAGAGGATCCTTCCATCTCCAAGTAGGGCCCCTGAGGCTGAACTTGCTCTCCTCTGCGCTCTGGTTCCCTTCAGCACAGATATGACTGAACTGGCCTCAGGAAAAGGGCTGGGAGGATGTGGAGGGGAATGGACTGAGTATGCAGGAACAGGTTAGCTGAGGGCTAGGGATCTGAGACCAGACAGAGAGAAAGTGGAACTGTAGGCATTCCCTCCACACCTTCTGTTTTTGAACGAAGCCCAAATCCTGAATCCTGTGCTACAGCTCTGGAGAGCGGTGGCCCTGGCCTGCTGTGCTGCCTAAAGTGAGTGCCCTAACCTCTCTGAGCCTTGGCTGTGCCACCTGCAGGACAGGAGGGCTGGTGGCTGAAGTTCAAAATGGCTTGGGGGGTGAGGAGACAGCTTGGTTTAGGGCAGTGGTCGACAAACTCATTAGTCAACAGAACCAAATACCAACAGTACAATGATTGAAATTTCTTTTCAGAGCGAAATTTTTTAAACTTAAACTTCTTCTAACGCCATTTCTTCAAAATAGATCTACCCAGGCCATGGTATTTTGTGGAAGAGCCACATTCAAGGAGTCAAAGAGCCACATGTGGCTTTCTCGAGCAGCAGTTTGCCGACCACGGGTCTAGTGGTTTGGTGGTTACATCAAAAATCCCTTGGCCTTTGCCCTGGGCTTATGTAGGACTTGCACAGATGGGAGAGCCAGGCGCTATCACTTCTTTGCTTTGAAGATGAGAACCAGTTCATCCTCCCCCTCGCTCACCTCGCCACCCTTCCTCTCCTCCTTGGTGCCTAGGTCTCCTGAACCTTCCCAGGGGCCAGTTTAGAGATATGACAGAGGACACACAAAGACCCCCAAGCCAGCACGTGGTGCTGTGTAGACAGCTGGGCAAACCATACACATCACAGGGTGCTGTGGATGGGGATAGAGCTTCCCGGCCTGGTGAGAGGGCTCATTGGCTGATCAGTGGCCAATGGGGACGTACACCGCAGGCATAGCTTCCAGGCCCAGAGTCCTTGAACTGAAAGTCTGGGATAACTAGAGCTAATTAATTACATGTGTGCAAACAGCCACAGTGGAGGCCACGGCCAGTCACCCCTCCCCTGGCCTCTCCCCTGCGATCCTGCCCCAGCAAAGGGGCTTGGCTGGCACAGCTGGGGCTGAGCCCCTGGGGGAAGGGCACACAGACGGAGAGCCCCTGCGGCCCAGAGGCTGGGTGAGCCCTCTGCCTCCAGATCACCTCCCATGATTACACACTCCAGCGCGTGCTGTGGTCCGGGATGCCAGGTTGTGACCCGGTTAGGATTTGGACCGGAACTTGGTCTGAGCTCCCCGTGGCCCTGTGCTGAGCAGCCCTGGCGGCATGGGCCCCAGCATTTGGGTCCTTAGGTTTCTGTTAACTTGGCCTCCTGAGCATTCCTGTCTCTGAGGAGAATCCAGACGGGGCTCTCCTTGTATCCCGCCGTGGGGAGTGCCTGCCTGGAGCTGAGGCTGCAGGTGAGGAAGGCACAGAGTCTGATTCTTGGCTTTTAGTGATCAGTTGGTCTGCCGGGATGCACCACAGGACCCCAAAGGAGTTACTTTTATTTGCACGCCCGTACGGTGCATGCCACCTCTGAGACACGGAGTCCAAGGAGAGAGGTGTGAATTCCTCATGTGTGAATGAGGCTTTACACTTTGACCTGCTAGCCTGAGTCAGTGATCTAATTTTGTGGTTTCAGGAGGCTTTGACAGGTTGGGTTGGAGTGGTGGCAGGGTTTTATATTTCTATAGAGGCCTGGGGCATGGGCGGGGTCCCTATCAGGGTGGGATCTCTACTAAGCGGTGGGCCGGCTGGGGGCTGGTACTGAGGGTGATTTTCCTGCTGTCTTCACCCCTGATCAGGGTTGGGGGGGAACTAGTAGAGGGTGGCACTGACAGGGGCAAGGGGCCACAGTCATTCTGGTCATTCTGGTCATTACCCTGTAATGGTCACTGGGCTTTTATTATATAGGATAACAGGAAGGGTGGACAATGGTAGCCATGAGAATGCAACTCACAGATCTTCAACTATAAGGAGAATAATTTGCCAGGGGCCCAGTTCCCATAGTCTGAAATCCATGATTGTATTTTCACTGGGACCACACCTCTTCTTCGTCATCTCTAAGCTCTGAGTGAATTTGGTTGCATGTCCAAATCTCAAGCGACAGAACATGTCTGTTGAGTGACTTTGGGTCGAGAACTCCCTGATGATCTTGTTAAACTTTTCTTGGATGAAATGACTGTCTAGCTTGCTTCCACCCGATCTTTTTCCCCCTGTACTTCATTGTCAAAGTCCTTTTGGGCTGCTGTAATAAAACTACCACAGACTGAGTGACTTAAAAACAGACATTTACTGCTCACAGTTCTGGAGACTGGCTGAAATCAAGGTGCTGGCAGATTCAGTGTCTGGTGAGAGCCTCTTCCCCCTTCAGAGACAGCTGCTTTTTTCCTGTCCTCGCATGCCAGGAAGGGCCAGGAGCTTTCCAGTGTACTTTTTTTCCTTGGTGCACTCATCCTATTCATGAGGGCTCTAACCTCATAGCCTCATCTCCTAATATTATCACAGTGGTGGTAGGATTGCCTCATATGGATTTTGGGGGAATACAAACATTCAGTAAGCATTCACCCAGGGTTAGATTTGGACAGCTATATGCCTGGCTCTGCCAATCTTATCCTATTCCCTCCACAGTTCTTTCACATGTATGTCCCATAATAAAAGCCATATGTGTTCAATCATTAATTGGGTCATGACATCCACTACTCAGAGATCGGTACTAACACAGTAATTACTATTATTAGCAGCTGTTAAGTACACGCTAAAGTTTTCCTCTTCCTTTAATCACATTGACTCAAGATCAGGAACTAAAATATCTGCAAATATCTTTTAGCTGATTTTAAAAGTTTTCCACTTTCTTACCAAATTATTGATCTCACTGTTTTCTGAAGATTTCTGAAGTTTCTATAAATTCTGACACAGCAGCTGACAGGGCTGTACTTTCTCTAATCATGCTTAGGTATCTCACCTAGAATATTCCCTTTTATACCACAAAACTGCATTATATTTATATGTGTATGTGGGATATTGATACTTAATATTTCTTTCTTGTTTATTTCTGGTTTGTATTTCAGGATTTTAGGCTCATGTACTTAAATGTTTATAGTATACTTTGTAAAGAATTGTTATTTATTTTTTAAGTGTTTGGTAGAAAACATTAGTAAAACTATCTGGGTCTGGAGTTTCCTTTGTGGAAAAGATATTAGTCTCAAACTTAATTTATTTCAGGGAGCATCTTTTACTCTAAAATAACTGTCTGATCTTGATATAATAAATTAAACTTTCTTTTCATCATGGATAGCCAGACACAGAATTTCCCATCCATTTCATTCTAATTTATTAGTGCATTTTAATTTATAGTGGGTTTCTTATAGATAGCATGTTGTAGAGGCTTAGTTTCTTTAAATCTAATTTAAGAGTCCCTGCCTTATAATTGGCTTGTTAGACTACTTATATTTAATATGATTGTTGATGATTAGGTTTACATTGCCCATCTTTCTAGCTGTTTTCTATTTGCTCTATTTGCTCTTTGTTTCCCCGCCACCACCCCACTTTTTTAAAATCATCTTTTGGTTTAATGATAGATTTTATTTCATTTTTCCTTTTGTTGGCTTGTTTATTATCATTAATTCTTTTTTCATTATCTCCTTTTAATGGTTAAAATTCATAGTATACATTTATATATTATCAAAGCCTAACTTCAATTAATATGATCTTAATTCATTCATTTTATAATCTTATAATAGTATATTTTTTTAATTTTTCCAATTTTTTCTTTGTGTCACTCTTATCATATATTTTATTTCTACATAGCTTATAAACCTGCTACATTGTCATCATTTTGTCTATAAATTTCAAATTTAATGAGATATTAAAATAAAAATATAATTATTTTATTTTTGCTCACTCAATTATCATTATCATTGAACTTTTCTTTGTGTAGAATCAGGTTTGCTTCTGTTATTATTTATCTTTTCCTGAATGACTTCCTTTAAAGTTATCTGTACTGTTGGATTGCTGGTGATGAATTATTTTAACTTTTATATATTTGTAAAAAGTTTTATTTTTCCCTTATTTTTAAAAATTACTTTTGCTGGTTAGAGATTTATGAGTTGACATTTTTTCAATTATTTAAAAAATACCTTCAATATGTTGCTCTATGATCTTGTAGTTGTTTTGTTTCTGTCCAGAATCATGTTGTTATTTTCATGTAGTGCTTATTTTAACTCTAGCTGTTATTAAAATTTCCTCTTTATCACTGGTTTTAAGCAATTTGATTATCATGTAGCTATTGATATCTTCATGAGTCTTATCCTAGGGATCCACTTGGCTTCTTCAATGAGTGGTTTATTAATTTCCATCAAATTTGAAGCATTTTTAGTGTTTTTTCTTTATTGAAATAAATTTTTATTGATTTTAGAAACAAAGGGAGAGGGAGAGAGATAGAAACATTGATGTTGAGAAGAATTTATCATCTGCCTCCTGCACTCCCCATCAGGGGACTGAGCTGGCAACCAGGGCATGTGCCTTAACCAGAAATCAAACTGGTGTCTTCTTGGTTCATGGGTGGATTGGATGCTCAATCACTGAGCCACACAGGCTGGACTATATATACTAAGTGTACAAGTTAATAATGCGGGTTTTTTCAATAGATAGGGTTACACATATGTTGATATATATGCAATTTGATATGTATGCTATTTTGTTGTATTGACAACAAGCTTCAAAATTTCATATGTAAAATTTGCTGAAGGTGTTAATATCATAAATATTTTAACACTTTAAAATGTCAAATTTTGTGCCAAAAAAAAAGAGCATTTGCAGGAAGTTTTAATTTATTACTTTATTTTGAAGAAAAATGCTGCCAAATACTTTGGGAAGCTTATGGTGAACATGTTCCATCTCAAGATACTTGTGAATGCTAGTTTAAATCTTTAAAAGTAATGATTTCCATGTGAAAGACAAAAAATATCCAGGTCAACCTGAAAAGTTTGAAGACCAACAATTATAAGCATTATTGGATGAAGATGCATGTCAAACTCAAAAGCAACTTGCAGAAAGGTTAAACGTTGCTCAGCAAACCATTTCTGATCATTTACAAGCAACAGAAAAGATTTTAAAGGAAGGAAAATGGGTGCCACATCAACTGAATGAAAGACAAATTGAAAACCGAAAAGTCATCAGTAAAATGTTGCTTCAACGGCACAAAAGTCTATTTTGCATCTAATTGTGACTGGCGATAAAAAGCGGATTTATTTTGAGAATTCCAAATGCACAAAATCATGGGTAGATCCAGGTCAATCATCAACATCGATTGCAAAGCCAACCATCAACATCAACTGCAAGGCCAAATAGCTTTGGAAAGAAGACAATGTTCTGCATTTGGTGAAATCAGGAAGGTGTGGTGTATTATGAGCTTCTAAAACCAGGTGAAACAGTTAGTACTGATCACTATCAACAACAAATAATCACACTTTGATCATGAAATGACCAGAATGTGCTTGAAGACAGGACAAAGTAATTTTGCTTCATGATGACGCAGTATCACACACTTCACACATTCAAAGATCTTGCCTGGGAAGTATTAACCCATCCCTATATTCAGCAGACCTTGCTCCTTCAGATCGATGGAACACACACTTTCTGAGCAGCACTTCAAAAATGTAAGAAGTAAAAATTGGGTCTCTGAATGGTTTGCCTCAAAATAAGAAAAGTTCTATTGGGACAGTGTCCACAAATTACCTGAAATATAGGAAAATGTGTAACTAATGATGGACATTACTTTGAATAAAGCACTTTTGATGTTTCTCTTGAAATTATTGAATACAAGGGTGAAACAAGTAACATTGCATTAACTAAATAAAAGACTTTAAATAATTAAAACATAACTTAAAAATAACTGTAATTCTAGAAAACATTTTATTTAATCATTCATATATTTGAAGTCTACTTATTAAGTTGTTCTTACAGATCTGGCCCTGGGCTTGCTGTGAAGATATAATAATGGATAAGAGAGATGACAGTGAAAATTTTAGTTGTATCATACATTGCATATGGATTTAGCTAATTATTATTTTATAATAGAAAATGATTATAATTAAATAAATCTTGGGGATGTGATGTACAACATGGTGATTCTAGTTAATAGTACTGTGTTGTATATTTGCACTTGATCTTAGCCAAAAGGCCGAGAAGCGATCTGTGTTGTATATTTGCCATAGATCTTAAAAGTTCTCATCAAGAATATTGTATATAAGAAAATATTAGTAAAAATTGTAACATGTAGGGATTGATATTAGACTTAGTATAGTGATAAGTTTTCAGTGTATACAAATATAGAAACATGTTATACATATGAAATTAATATAATACTATATATCAATAATACCTCAATTATAAATAGTAGTAAATGATTAATTTCCAACCTAACGTACAGGCTATTGCTTGGATTTTTTTCACTTATTTGTCATTATTAACACTAACTGGAGGCCCAGTGCACAAAATTCTTGCATGAGGATGTGTGTCCCTCAGCCCAGCATGCACCCTCTCCAATCTGGGACCCTTAGAGAGATATCCAACTGCCTGGTGAGGCCGTTAGGATCAGATCTAAACAGGCAGTAGGACATCCCTCTCACAATCCAGGACTGCTGGCTCCCAACTGCTTGCCTGCCTGCCTTCCTGATTGCCATTAACTGCTTCTGCCTGCCAGCCTGATCACCCCCTAACCATTCCCATGCCAGCCTGATTGATACCTAACTGCTCCCCTGCTTGTCTGTTTGCCCTTAACTGCCCTCCCCTGCAGGCCTTGTCACCCCTAACTGCCCTTTCCTGCTGGCCTGATCACCTACAACTGTCCTTCCTTGCAGACCTGGTCCCTCCCAACTGTCCTCCACTACTGGCCATTTTGTGGTTGCCATCTTGTGTCCACATGAAGGCAGCCATCTTTAACCTCATGGGGGCAGCCATCTTGTGTGTTGGAGTGGTCAATTTGTATATTACTCTTTTATTAGATAGGATAGAGGCCTGGTGCATGGGTGGGGGCCAGCTAGTTTGCCCTGCAGGGTGTCCCAGATCAGGGTGGGGTTCCCTTGAGGCATGGGATGGCCTGGACGAAGGGCCTATGGTAGTTTGCAGACAGGCACGCCCCCCAGCGACCTAAGCAGAGGCCCTGGTATCTGAGATTTATTTATCTTCCATAATTGAAACTTTGTAGCCTTGAGTGCAGGCTAAGTCTGTGGAAGCTTGGCTTCCTCCATCACTGAGGGAAACTCAAGACTCCTCCTCTCTCCAGCTCTGTGGCTGGTGCCATTTTTGCTGGGATTTATTTATCTTCTATCCTTAATTGGAGGCCTGGGTCATCCAGGGTATACGGAAAGCTTGGCTTCTTCCATTTCTGGGGGAAACCCAAGCTTCCTGCTCACTCTTTGGCTGCAGCCATCTTGGTTGGGATAATTTGCATACTTGCTCCTGATTGGCTAGTGGGTGTGGCTTGTTGATATAGCAAAGTGATGGTTAATTTGCATATTACTCTTTTATTAGATAGGATTCTTTGGGATCAGAGAGTCTTTTTTAAACATTGTATTAGATTAGAAAACATTATTGTCACTTTGGAAGAGCATCTTCTAAATGCCAACTTGAGACTGTATAATTGTTAGCACAGGCTGCATGTTAGCTTCCTGATATTAAGTTATGGGTACATGTTGATATGATTTTGTGACTGTGCATCAGGCACTAAGAACCTACCAATGCCACCTTCTAACTTTCTGGGCATTTAATTATTGAAACAATGCTAACAACTTATTCTTCTTTTATTTTCTTTTAGGGCCTTTTCAAGTAAGCAAGACATGTCTTAGGCTAACATATGCATCAGCTCATGAGAAGCTACCTGTTTTGTTAGATAATTAAGGGAAGATGTCAGGAAAATATTCTAGCATATGGTGTAACTACTGAATCTATCACAGTGCCACTTTCCCTATTGCTTTATGGGCAGTGAAACAAGGCACATTGTGACTACAGGGAAGAATAATTTACCACAGGTTCTGCTTTTGCTTAGCTTGTACACTAAATTATGAAGGCAGATTGTTTCTTGATGTTTACTGAAATTTATGGAAAGTACATATTTTTCTCTAAATGTCCTTTCAACTGAAAGATGTTACACAAAACTCAGAAAGGGTTGTTTCTTGGATGATGGGTGGAGAAAGGTGATTGATGACCGATTTCTATGAAATTCTGACTAATGTTGTTTTAAACAGTTGTAGAAAATGTTTTTACCTGTGTTCAATGAATGCTGAATGAAAATGAATAGATTGGTATATGTAGAGCACAAACAGATTGCATATCATGAATTTAGGGTCTCTGAGATTTTTTTTTATCTGACTAAATCCTTCCCATTCTGAGCACTCATGTCCAGCAGTTTTAATTGAGCACCAATCTTTTTATTCCTCAAAAAGTCATAAGACACAAAATGCAAACTCTCCCAGGAAAGTTAAATTTACACTTAATTTCACAGTACTCTATAAATGCATGATAACATATACCCTCGCTGATTACTGATGAGGCTTTACCTACCTTATGAAATCTAAAACCCATAACTTTTTGCCAGAGTGGTCAATGTTAACAGAAGGTTCACTGATCATACCAGTCTGCACTTAGAATATCAAGTGAAGTGAATTAGGTATTAGATTTTCAGATGAAAGCAGGCAGAAAGGAAAAACGGAGCTTCAATTTTACTCCTGATGATATTCCCATGCTTTCTCCAAAGTGATTTTCTTTCCTCAAATGTACTCTTTAATGATCATTTTAACTCAGAACTGTAATAGAATATGTAACTAAGATAATTCAAATCACTTTGGAGAAATTCCTGGAAAACCTACAAATAATTATTTTTAAAAGCAATAATTAATACTTGATAATTTTTAAATCAATTAAAACCTAAGTGATGCATTGGAAAACCATCTATCCCAGCTATTCTGTTGTTAATCTTGGAATCATAAATGCAGACTATTGGACTGAAATGACATAATCAGAGTCACTTGTTTGAAAAATAAGTAGTTATTGGTGAACCTCACAGTTAGAAAATACAAGCTTAAAAGAACTAAACAAAAACTCTATACATCTAGGAAAGCATAATTTAGGAGGTTCCATACCATTAGTTGTTTTCTAGAATATTGTGAGAGAATGACATTTTTGAGATCATTTTATAGTGTGTAATATTTAAAACTTATAATGCATTTACATTTTGTATTTAAATTCCATGCATTGAAAAAAGTAAAACTGTTACTTGTCAAGATGCAAAACATGGTTTATAATATCTGATGAATTAAAAATTTATTAAAATTATTCATGACTGCTAACATTTTTAAATCTATTAACTTCACTTCACAGTGATGATGTAAAGTCACTAGAGTGGGTTTGTTAAATTTAAAGTTGCGGAGATAGTAGTGAAGCAAACTGAACTCACATGTCATATCGCTAAACATCTTGTTAGAAGTTCTGTTAATATACAAAACCGATTGTTTAAGAAAACCATAAATAGATGCTATTGGTTTTAGATTAAGTATTAATATATTATTAGAGGCTCAGTGCACAAAATTCGTGCATGGGTAGGGTCCCTAGTGGCTGCTGGCTGCCGGCTGCCAGCTGCCGGCTGCCAGCCGGGTTGCCTCCCTTCCCCTGGCTGCCTTCTGCTGCTGCTGGCTGGCGGGGGGGGGGGGGGGGGGGGGAGGTGAGGGCCTCCCTTCCTCTGACCACCTGTTGCTGCTTCTGGCCAGGG